AGTCAGGAATATGGGGTTGGAAAACTGATAAAACAGAAGTGATCCAAGGATTTGAAGCTAAGGTTCATAAAAGTTATTACGTTGCTGTATTTTTTATTTATTTATTTTTACCTAAATGTATGTTTGCTGTTAACAGTGGAGCCTGTGTATATTGTATGACCTTCAGTTCTGGTGCTTTTTGTCAGGTTTTCAATGTCAACAACGTCCATGTTGTAATCAGGACGAGAACAGAGCATTTAACAGACGAGGAAAAAGCCAGGATTAAAAGTAGGTGGAGAATATTTCCCATTCACCTCGTATCTTTCCTTCCTCATACATACATTATGCTTTTGTAATGATTTACAGATGGAACTTTCAGAATTCTCCAGACTAATAAAACTACATCTGACTTTTTGTTCAAAGGTGAAAGGAATGTCTTGGAGTCTCTGCTGGGAACTGTGGAGCAGCACATAAGTGCTCAGGGGGTGAGATTTATTTAAAAATAAACCTTTTTTCTCTCACTCTCTCTCTCAGTCTAATTAGCTCATTTCAGATGATTGCTTGACGTTTTAGGACCTAACTCTTGAGTATGCAACAGCCACAAACCCCACTGCAATCACTCCGGAGGAATATTTTGACCCCGATTTTGACCTGGGCAACAGAGACATCGGCCGTCCCATTGAGCTGACAGTTAGAACACAAAAGTAAGTCTAATAACACAGATCTGTGTTTCTCCTGGTTTCTGTATCAGTCTGAAGCACATTTAATCAAGGATTTATGTAATCTTGTTCCTCGTAGGTTCAAAGGAACACTGTGGATGAGTGAGGAACATCCTCTGTCCCTGGTGGAGCAGGTGACCCCCATCATTGACCTCATGGCTCGAACCAGTTCCCATTTTGCAAGGCTGCGAGATTTTGTAACCCTGAACTTTCCCCCTGGATTTCCTGTTAAAATAGGTATTCAACGTTCCCTCTCGTTTTTTTTAATCAGGGCTACATTTTGATAAAGCGTTGTTATTCCTCTCTGGCAGAGATTCCTCTGTTTCATGTGCTTAACGCCAGGATTACATTTGGTAATCTAAACACCTGCAGAGATGAAAACGAAGTGAGCTCACCTGCAGCCACCACACCGAGCGCCTCTGTGGAGGATGAAGCAGCGACAGGTAGAAACACAGCCACAATATTAGCTGTTAAAGGCACTCATTGCAACGTCATGACAGTTTTTTCATGAAGAAACAAAATCCACGCTTTTTTCATATCATTTATTAATGCGTCTTTAAAGGGGCAATATCATGTAAAATCAACTTTTTTGAGTTTTATATCATGTTATACGTTATACTCTCATAAAAAACATGCCCAAAGCCTTGCTTTGACTCATGTTTAAGAAATCCTGCAGCGTTTTTAGGCAGCCATGCTGAGGAGCAAAACGACAGGTGGGGACCAGAAACACCTTTTGGGACCAGAAACGCCCCTGGGACGTATCTTTAAGCCGAGCTTCCTCATCACGGAGCACCCCCCCCAACCCCACTC